ACATGCCCCTCCGGATACTGCAAATAAAAGTTTCAGTTAGGTACATAGGAGCTAAACTAATACAAGATAAGAAAGAAAAATGAGAAGAACGTTTGAGCTTGGCCTACAAACGAGTGGGAAGAAATTTATGGAAGGAATACATGAAGGAATCTATGCTTCTATAACAGATCTATAACAGTAAGTAACTGGAAAATCTTGAAACACATTTGAACCCTTTCCTTTGGATAAATAAAACACATTTGTACTTAGACAAAGTACTCTCGAGGATGTGACAGAGTTTCATGAAGATATGAAGATGAACTAGAGCACAGTCTAAGCCTGATCAGAATTTGGAACTATTCAGAAGCTCCTCAATGTCCCATTCTTACACATGTCACAGCGTTGACATCTTCTTTATTAATGTTAAGCAGATAAAAATCTACATCATGAAAAGATTATTTACCTCCAATTCAGCCTCTGCAAGAGCCGTTCGTGATGAGGGACTCCAGTGAACTGGTTTCCTGCCTCTGTATATAAAACCTTGAATGACCATCTGGCCAAACACTTCTATCTAGAAAATGGTACGACGCAAATGAGACAAATGCGTACTGTCGCAATTACATATAACCACATATAAGATCAACATCCTTAACCAGAAAGATGAGAAGGTTTGGTCTCTTTTCACATATTTCATTTCTCTTTTTAACGTCTGTTCAGCAAAAAGAATTCTATATGAAAAACCTTAGTACACATATTTTTACCATAGTATAGGATTGTTGACCATCTTCTAGAAGTTACATTCAATTCAAATTGTCTACAAAGAAAGCATGAGCAAAATTGTAACTAACCTGAGCAGCTTCATATTCTGGATCAAGAGTTAGGTAGGGATTATTCCAGTCTGCCCACACTCCATAACGCTGCAATCAGATGACACAATTAATGTTCAGGAATATTCCAAAGCAGAGGTTTCCAATCTGTTAAAAACTAAGGTTTTTTTGTTTTTGTTTTTCCAAATAGAAAAATCAACATCCTAACAACTTAAATTATATCCAAATTATACCTGAAAGGTCAAGAAAAGCATCTGCAAAGTATCATGCTTATAGAGCAGCCAAGAAACGAACATTAATGTGAGAGGAGAAAAAGGGTATTTACCTTAAATGATTCCATCTGAGTTTTAACTGTTTGCTTGGCAAACTTAGCTGCCTTTTGTCTCAACTTTATTGGTGTTAGATCCTTTCGAGCAGCTTGATCAAGTGATTGCAGAACTGAAATAAACGAAATGATGCTGAAGTTAATCAGCACATTCACCTAGGAAAATAAAGTGTACCTAAACTTGACTTTTACAAATTAAGGGCACTTTAGGGCAAACAGAGAGGATATTACAGAAGTCCTAGCAGTTTTTGTTTTTTTTTTTTTTGGTTAGATTGGGAGGAAAGAAACCCTGGGGTTTCAATCCTGGGTGCCAAGCAGTGGGGAAGGGGGAGGGCCACAACCACTGTGGTAATCCCGCTCGACAAGTCCTAGCAGTTTCTTGATTTCAGATGTGTACATATGATTTATTCAAAATATAAGGTTGCAAATGACTATACAATGCCTCTTCAACATAGTTTCCATCTGAACGCGTTTTTCATAATAAAACAAATGAGTATGATTAAAACAATACTTGCCTTTCAACTCAATTGGTAAGCCATGACAATCCCAACCAGGCACATAATGAACTTTATAATTTTGAAGAAGCTGCCCACAGAAAAAAAAAATACAGGAATGAACTTTATTTAATTTTGTGAAAGGACCATTGAGCTTTGACAGTCAATGAAATGTAGCTTAGTTTGCATAGAAGCTGGATTTGTGTGACTAAAGCTTTTTTGTTATATAATTACATTTCTTTTAAATATAATAGTATCATAATGAATGGATAAGCAAGGGAAGGATATATACCTTATAACGATTAATAAAATCCTTTAAAATCTTATTTAAAGCATGGCCTATGTGAAGATCACCATTGGCATACGGAGGACCATCGTGAAGAATGAAATTTTCCTGACCAAGTAAAAGTCAGCCAATAAGTCATGTCAGGTAACAAATACCTAAGGCAAGGTACGAAACTTACCCCTGTGTTTTTACCAACAACTCTCTTGAACACTTGATTGTCATCCCATATTTTTTGAATTTCAGGCTCTCGTATCATAGAGTTCGCTCTCATGCCAAATGACGTCTTTGGCAGATCAACTGTGTGCTTGTATTTCCCATCTTCTTGCTTTGCCCCTTATCAACAAGGATCAACTCAAACAATTAGAAAAGAGGACAATCACGTTCAGGTTCCAGACAAAAATTACAAATAGTTTAAAAGTAACTCTCTAAAAATCATGTGATGGATCAACACTACAAGCACCATCTTTCGAGAAAGAATAATAACACAGAAAAACACCTTCAGCGGCTTTCTTTGCGGCCATAACAGGTCCTCGAGATCTTCGCTTTGAGGAAGAAGCAAACTCATCATTGGAATAACTAGAATGGTGTGCCATATGAAAGAGGGAGAATACTTTAACTGAAGACCTATCTCTGAAATAAAAGAGACCAACAGAAGCTGTGCTCCTAAAGGATGAGCAAGTTCTTTGTGACAGAACCTGATCATGTACAACACAATCTATCAGTTTTGTTTATTAAAAAATATTAAATTTAAGATGGAGTAAAATGAGATACAAATTCAATCTTCAAATGAAAAATTGAACTCAATCATGAATTGAACCATTTATTTCAAGTAAAATACTGTTGAAATAAGTTCAGAAGAAGAAGAAAAGAAAAAAACTGACTGTGAAGGACATGTACAAACTTGTGGAAAGAAATCTTAATCTATATGTTAATAGTAAGTTACAAGAACGAGTTATTTAGTCCACGATTATATTACCACCATTGTGATTCGGCTTGGACGTCAAATTCCGGTAGAAGTTAAGGCAGAGTCATTTTACAGAGTTTTTTTTTATACATTTTTTTAAAACAGAAAAAAAAAAATTCCCTTTTTCCAGAACTTGAAAAATCAATTCTGTGTGCTGGCACTTTTGAATTCCATTTACGATAAACAAGAGACCACAAAAATTTGAAAATGTATTTTTTTTCTCTCCCTGCATCTTCTACCAATTTGAACAAGAAAAAAATAAAAGAAACAGTTAAAATTCTAACCATAGAAGTCGATGTCCCTCTATGGCATTTCATCAAGCAAGTGGTGCACCAAAAACAAAAGCCTACCAACGCCACATAAACTCATTTGCCGATAACCATTTTAATTTTATGCACATACAGTCACACACACAATCAAAATGTAATGCATTTCCCTATACAAATCTAATTAAAAACCTGAATTCAAAATTTTTTTCACTTCATCACCAGAACTGGTCAACAATTCCATAACGAGCAAGAATTACAATCACAAAAAGCATCACAACTTTAAAACGCGTCGCAAAACGCTCTTCATTTTATCCCAATCACAGAAAGCTGTTCAAGTAGTTTAAAGTAGGCTCGTTTTCCCAGAAACCATAGGAGAAATGTAGGAAGAAGACAAAGCTTGAAATCTCAAACAGAACCCAGAACTACTATAACGCAGTCGAAACTGCCAAAGTCTTTCTAGTGTTTCCTAACACTTTCTCGGGAACCAAACAGAGCATGAACACTCAAATGTGAGCTAAAGTTAAGCATTTGTGTGTATGTCTATGTGCGTGCATATAGATACAAATATACAAATATATGTCTCTTGTGTGTGTAAATATATACCCTGTAAGGAGAGGTTGGAATCACAGCCATTGTGGCCTCCCTGGGTTTGAACGAGAAGGAGTGTGTGGCGAAGGATTTGAAGTTCATTGGAAGAGCTTCGCCATTTGGGGACGGGGACTGTTAGCAAAAAGAGGGAAACTCCATGCGGATAAAACGAACCATTTGGTCCAAAACGACCAAAACCTTACAGCCGTTTGTTTATTCATGTTCCGACCCGTCAAAGAAACGGGTCGGGTCGAGGCTCAACCCGTTTTAAAAAAAGATTTTCTGTATGAAGGGGTTTTTGTTTTGTTTTATTTTTATTTTTTACTTTTCGCCTTTCCTCCTAGCTCTATAATAAATTTTTATTGTAGGATTTCATTATCCAAATCTTTGTAAACATGTTTCTTAAAGGATTAAAATTGAGCCAAATTGCACAATAAAACCTACTCTATACCATATAATCAAGTTTACGTAATAATTTGCTTCTTACGATAAAAAAATCATTTGTAAAGAAAAATGTACCTAATCCAACAACTTGTACAAATTTTATTTTTCACAATGATAAGTAGATTCAAACTGGGGTGCAAAAGGGGCACGCACACAATCCTAATTAACTGGCCAAACCTAAGGTTGCAAACGCATTATTTGATAAGCAAATTTATAGAATACAAAACCGCTTGTAAGGAAAAGAATCCTAATTGAAGAACTTGTACGTAATTTATTTTTGGCAATGATAATAAGATAGTAATATGTGTACTATAACACATTATTTGATTAGCAAATTTGTTTCCTTACCCAGTAAAGAAGAGAATTTTCAAGAATTAAGAACAAGAATCCTTACGCTCTTTTGATGGGTCGGGAGTCGGGATTGGATCAATTGCACACTCATACAGTTTTTGTCAATGAGTGAGCAACAAACGTTGGTATTTATTGAGAGAGATTGTTCATTTTAATTAGGAAAGTGACACACTTGACGTTGCCATCCAGACAGAAAAGAAATAAAAGAAAAGAGGAAACACAAATTGAAACTTGGAGGCCAAGGTTCCACGAGACTTGGAGGCCAAGGCTGCAACAAACAAACTATGTCAGACAAATTAGTCAACAAACTTAATACACAGTTTTATTGCCCGCAGTAGATAACTGTGGAAACAAGCTTAGGAGAGGATCCGGATCCATGAGGACACGATGTCCAAACTCATTAAGAAACTTCAATATGTAGGTTCTGTTTCATAAATATTTCTTTAAAAATTAAAATTAAAAAATCTACGAGGGAGAGGGATTCAAAGTCTTGCATATTAAAACTGGACTGACAAACCAACAGGGATAGGCTTATGTACACTATCCTTTACACCATCAAAACTTGACTATCAACCAACATCAAAAGGAAAATTACACCTATTATGTCGAGTTTTGAACACCAAATCTAGGACGGAAAATCCCAAAGATTGAAGCTGCAAATGAAAGAATACCGACAAGTGCACTTTGGAATTTGTCCGAGTTGCTTGTCCTTATGGCAATCTGACCCCTTTGCTTGTTGCTCAATACAACATGAACAGCCATTTTAGAACCTCCAACAGAGAACAGAGATAGTATATCGGCTGTCAGAACAAGACCACCTCCCCACTTCATCAGAGACAAACCCAAGCCAGTTTGGTCCTGCCTTCTAGGGCAATCCTTATTCTTGAGACGCACTTCCAATTTGGCTCCATGTGCTGTTTCACCTTTAAACTGCAGAGCTCCAGCCCTTCCAGCCAAAACCAAGTGCTTCCCAATAGCCATTTGATCCTCAATCTTGAGTCCGGTGGCCACATTCTCATCTGAAAAAGTTACAGTTAAACTAGCAGCTGTTCCATCTATGTTGAAATTTTTTACTTCGGTTTGACCAATAAAAATGTGTTTGTGTGTCACATTGGAACTTGGTGTGATCAATTTAAGGAAATCACAACACAGTGCATATTCAAATCTATCAAGGTCAGTAGCTTCAGACAAATCACCGTTACCCAAATACACGATTTCCTGAATTTGATTTTCATTCTTCTCAACACCAAAATCAGTTCCCGAATGCATTCTTTTTTCCAGTGCCTCAGAACTTCTGCTAGTATCAACACCATCCCTTTTGTTATTTGGACAATGCACAATGGATTCTTCTGCCACATACTTGGCTTTCTCCCCTCCTTCCCATACATTGAAGTTGTCATTGATCTCTGCAGCAGCAAGATCATTATCTTCAATCATTTCAGCTTGAATAGAATCCCCGTTTTGGCCTTTAAAGTCTGAACACTCTACACAGTTTAGCTCTATGGAAGGTTCAGACTGTTTAATGACCAAGGACTCTTTCCGCAGCACTGGCCCGTATTCTTCTCCTTCTTCAACTACCATAACTCCAGGTGTGATACTAATATTTTCCCCAAGCAGAACCAAGCTGGTTGGTTCTTTCTCTGCAGGGACATCCTTCTCCGCAGGGACATCCTTCTCCTTGAGAGACACTTCCACTTTGGCTCCATATATTGTATCGCCTTGAAATTTCACAGCACCAGCGTTTTCTGCCACATTCTCGCATAAGAGAGTAACAGATAGTGAGTTCAGCGTGATTGATTTAAGCAAATCACTACACAGTGCATTTTCAAATTCCTCATCCTTAGTAAGCTCAGATAAATCACAATTTTCCAAACACAAAGTCTGATTTTCGCTCCACTTGACGCCTAAATCAACGCCATTCCTTTCGCTATTTGGGCAATGCACAAAGGATTCTTCTGCCACATACTTTGCTTTCTCCTCTTCTTCAAATACATTAATGCTCAACTCCTCAGCATTTGCTTCATTTGTCTCTGTCATAGCAAGACCATTATCTTCAATCCATTCAGCTTGAACAGAATCTCCATTTTGACCTTTGCCAAAATTACTCAAATCACCCTCAACACCTTCAACATTCTTTACCTCTATGGCAGGTTCAGATTGTTCAACTACCAAAGGCTCTTCCCACTTCACTGTCTCATCTTCTTCTCCTTCTTCAACCTCAGAAACCTTAACTCTCGGCGCAATACTAAGCTTCTCCACAAACCCATTACCAGGAACCTTAACCTGACCCACAAAATCACCATTTTCCACTTCACTCAAAACCTCTTCACTATCCACCACATCATTATCATCACTCTCCCATGACAACTGGGCAATGGGCATAACCCTCTCTGAAATTGCATCATCCACCATAACTTTCTCGAAAACAGGTTCAAACTCATCTGGGTAGGCCACAGAAGGCCAAGAAAGCTCATATTTTCCAACAGAGTCACTCCGTTGAAGAGCTTCCTCATCTGGGTCTGCCACCAATGGCCTCTCCGACGCCGTTTCAAACTCCTCCCCAGTCACAAAGGCCTCAGATTCAGACCCACTCTCACAACCAATACTGCTAATATTACAACTACTGCTATAACCCGAATCATGACCGTTGAATTCAGAATCAGAGTCAGAATCAGAATCAGGAGTAGGAGGAGCTCGGATAGGAAGAGAACCTGCGAGTGAAGATGAGCTCAAAAGAGCGAGATTACCTGGTGTCCCTTGTGTTGCAGAAAGTCGGACATAAGGTTTTGAATCCATAGACTCGAGCTCCTGTACTTCCAAAAGCAAAAGCAAGAAACAGCAGCTGCCAAAGGAAAAAAAGGGTTTTGCTTGTTTTTGTTTTTGTTTTTGTTTTTTTGTCTTTTTTTATTAATAAAGGGTTTTGCTTGTTGGATCTTAAAATTTTGGATTATTTGTTCTCTCTCTTCGTTTTCTCGACGACTTCTATGTATCTTGATTTTTTTTCTCGATAATTGCTATGTTTTTTAAGGTCTAATAGGAATAAGTCGTTTGAATAATAGACGAGTCGTTTGGTAATGCTTCTCCATATAAGTGATTTTAAGTGATTCTGAGCAGAAGCCCCTCTTATGTATTTCTTTATAAAATCACTTAAAAATTAAAACTACTTAAATGATTCTTTGAAGAAGTGATTTTCTATAGAAGTGCTTTTTGGTCTATCTATAATCACTTTTAAATTAACAGTGGTGTATCAAGAAAGTGATTACTCCACTTTTTAATATGAAGTACATGTGCATTTCATTAGTTGTAGGATTTTTAAATGATTTTATTTTATGATGAGGATGACTATCCCTTGATCAATTTTTTAGGTTCTTATTTTGCTTTTATCCTTAAAATATTGAAGGTTGTTGTCTCAAAATTTTGCAGAATATGTAGGGCTTCTTTGGTATCCTATTTGGATTCAATTTTATAAACTAAAAATAAGATTTTAAGTCCAAAGCTTGAAAAAAAACCTCGTTTGGTAGGCCCATTTTTAAAATTCCAAACCCAAAACAAACTAAAAAACAACCATATTATTAAGAACAAAAAAAAAAGTGAAGTTTTATACTTTTTTCTCTCTCTCTCTCCGTCTCTCGTCACTCATCACTCATCTGTCTCTCTCTTTCTCTCTCGTCAGTTAGTGGTTCTGAGTCGAAACCGTCGTTTGCAGCTCCGTCAAGGTCTCCTTCGTCCACTACCTGACCCCAAATTGATTAATCTTTTTTCATGTTTTGGGTTTTAGGGTTTCAATTGAAAACTCATAGGTTTTTCTTTTCTTTTGTTAATTTCAATTTGGGAACCTAGGGTTTCTGATTTTAATTTCAATTTTGTTTAGATCTTAAAAATAGTTTGGAGTTCGATACCAAACAAGTTTTTTTTATCTTAAAATTACTATTTGAAAACTCATCTTTTTAAAAAAGAATTATAATTTATGAATTTATTTTTTTTAGTAGGATGCCAAACAGGGTCGTACTTTTTTCTTCTTTTTATTATTTATTTTAAAACAAACTGGGTATAAACTTATTCTTAAGCAAATTTCCAATATATACCATGATATTTTATAGGGAGTTTCATTATTATACCAAATATAGGGGCCCAAATTATAAAAAAACCATACATGAAATGGACTTTAGAAATACACCAAAAGCCCATTTACAACATAAGAAAGAGGTTTCGAACTTCCTATAAATTACAAAATTGCCATGAATTTCTTAAAATAAGCTTAACCCCAAAACCTCATAAAAAAAAACACCCAAAACACTCAACAGGGTATCAAAGTAATTTAATAATAAAAATTAAATTCAAAAGGGCCAGTTGTCTGTTTTTGGGTTTGTTTATAGAAATTAAATAATGTAGATTTATAAAAATACCCAATCCTAGACATGTATTTATAAAAATACCCAAGCACTATTTAAACATAGAAACATACCCAAAATGGGTTTTGGGTATGTGTGTAATGATAGGTTTTGGGTATGTTTATAAATGGGTTTTGAGTGTGTGTAATGATGAGTTTTGGGTATGTTTATAAAGTGTTTTGGGTGTTGGGTATTTTTATAATTTCAGCCCCCATTTTGGGTATTTTAGTGAAACTCCCTTATTAATATCACTAGTACTAAGAATGGGTACATAACTAAATACCTCAATTTTATAAATATTTAATTACTATTTTACCTCTAGAATGGACGCTCAGTCTGACTTTAACAGTAATTAAACCTTTTATAAACGAACAGTTGAAGAATTACATCACACGACTCGTTAACAGCTTGCTGGGCCATTTTACTCTAGGGCGCTAGGTTCTTTTTCCATTGTATAATTGCGATGGAAATCATCAAATAGACCATGGGCCTGTATCTCTTCTCAACAACTAAAGAATTGCAAGTTTGAACTAGAGGGGTGCGCCCTCATGCAGTAGTGGGGTTTATGGAGGAACAAACTATTTAGTTAATAATTCCCTTTATATTTTCCACAAAACTACAAAATAGGAACAAACTATCCCATAGAACACCACCCACTACTTATGTTGGATTATGAGGGAGGGAATCTAAACTAATAATTATTGGACTTAGTATACTAAACTAACCGACAAAAGTAAAATCAACTTGAGGAAGCAAAGTAATGGCTAGAAACATGCTGATTTTTTTTTTAGCAGAAGAATATGTTGATTTAGAATAAATTCTTATATATGTTTTTGGGCTAAGAATAAACTCTGTCACAGCTGGATATATCAAACAATTATATCAGACAAAAAGAAAAAATCAACTTGAGGAAGACGAGAAATGAGCCTATTTTGATAGCCAACAACATAAAGTTGATGTTGAATTGAGGAAGGGGCCGCGCGAACGTAGGCCCCCACTACAACAAATTAAGACGTTGGCTCTCCTACGTTGAGGAGACCATAGGCAGGCACCCCTCCTAAGTGCAATGGAGGTCACCAACCTAGGCCATGAGCCTTCTTGATTGCCCATAGACTCCGTCCAGGTAAATATGTTTTTAAGTGCCTCTTGTTCCTTTTAAATACATCAGTCTCGCTCTCTACTTCTTGTATATTTCCGATGTGGTACTTTAAGCTAAACATAATCACTTGGAAAAAGTGCTAGAGGCACATACGATTTGACAAGCTTAATTAATCTACATAAACACTTGACTTCCAAATTCACAAATTTAATCCTCAAGTCATTAACATTAGTTCAAGTGATGAGGGTGAGTCAAAAAGTTAGTAAGAATTATGATAAGTAAAGAGTTCGCTTATCTTTTATTGTAACAAAAGAATTTAAGCCTACATTTGTAATCGCTTTATAAAATGACATTTGGGTTCACATATTGACCCAAAGACACGGACTTTGAAGGCTTGGTCTGCAAATTCATGGAAGAACAATGATCCTCAATACTAGGGATGACAATGGGTCGAATCGGGGGTGGGTATGTCATTCCCATCCCCATCCCCATTAAGCATTTTTTTCCCCATCCCCAATACTGTGGCATTATTAAGTACAGGAAGTGTTAAAATAAAGAAATACAATTTGTTATTTGTTATGTTTGATACAGTTTATTTCTTTTTCAAAATGTTCTTCTCGTGACAAATAAAAGAAAGGGTTATTGACCGAAATGGTCCCCCAACTATTGCTCAAGTTTCATGTTGGTCCACCAACTAAAATTTTCATTTCAATAGTCCTCAAACTCTCCATTTAGTATAAAAATGGTCCTACTGTCAAAGTTTGTCAATTTTACCGTTAAATTGAGGGATAAAACCGTCCATATGTTGGAAGCTCCCCGAAATTAGAACCCTAGTTTTGCTGGATTGCTGGACCCAGCTACCAGAGCCAAAGGCTTCTTCTCTTTTTCAATTGTATCCACAAACACTTGTTCACTGTCTTCCACCTTCCTCTTTGCTCAGTAAAATTTGCTTTGGGCCTCAAGGTTTTCAACCTCTCAACTATCTCATTGGTAACTTTAGTTTCAAAGGTTGTGGCAATTCCACCACTGCATCTCTAGAAAGCTCCTAGTGCCTTTACCTTTTGAGCATAACAAAGGGTTCTCTGTTAAATTATAAAAGTGACAACAAATCGCTCTATCAATTCAATCCAACAACAATGTTAATGGAATAGATGTATAGAGAAGCGAAGAGAGAATGAAAATATTGTGAGAATGTGAAGGTAAAGAGTTCCATATTGGAAAGTTGAGAAACCTAGCAAGGGCTTATAAGGAGTTGGGTTACTCCCCCCATAGCCAATTGGTTTTGGAGTGGAACCTCAACTTCCTTCATGGTATCAGAGCAGGTTAGCCCACGTGTGAAAGCCCAACGGCCACACGTACTCCACGTCACCCAATATGTGTTGTCCACGTGTTAGGCTTGAAAATTCGCCACACGTGCGGGGGCGTGTGAGAATGTGAAGGTAAAGAGTCCCACATTGGAAAGTTGAGAAACATAGTAAGGGCTTATGAGGAGTTGGTTTACTCCCCCCATTGCCAATTGATTTTGGGATGGAACCTCAACTTCCTTCACATATAAGCAACAACAATGTTACTGGAGCAAACAATGAGACTAGTCTTCTTGTTCGAACAACCCCATTTCACTCTATCATTAAATCCCCATTCTCCTCTATCATTACCAGAAACGTGGCTTCTGTTGACGACACAACCCATATCTTCTTTTGATCAGGCTATTTGTACGCAGCAGTGAAATGTGTTTTTTTGGCTTCTGGGTTTTTCTTGTGGTGCCTAATTTGCAACTATTTTGAGGAATCAATGCAAAGTCGTCGTTATGAAATAGAGACAGAGAGAGATAGGGTAGAGGGGAGAGAGGGAACGAAGGGGAAGGGCTGGAGAGATTGCTTTGTAAGGATGGACAAACTTTGATGGTTTTTACCCTCAATTTCACAAAATATTTGACAAACTTTGACGGAATGACAATTTTTATACTAAATGGGGAATTGAATGACTATTGAAATGAACAATTTAGTTGGTCGACCAAAATGAAACTCGAGAAATAATTGAAGAACCATTTTGGTCAAAAACCATAAAAGAAAATTTTAGACTAAATTTAGTGGGGTGCGCCAGGCCCATGCAATAGTGCAACGCTTGGGCGACACTTGACCCACATATCAGATATTAAACTGATAAGAACAGATACTACACTTGATCTTAGCTAAAAGGCCGAGAAAGGTATGCTTTTTCTCATCTCTTGTTTCTCTTTTTATCGGGCCATTCACTTCCATCGTTATTGGTCCAGTTGATGTGGGACTGTTCAACATTTACAAACAGCAAAGGGGGCTACGAAGGCTGAAAGCATAATTGATTTGGGTTATACATGCATACATGTGTTGACA